AACTCACTATATTAAGGTATAATGCAACCATTTATATTCAGAGTATATCTCCAACTCACTATATTAAGGTATAATGCAACCATTTATATTCAGAGTATATCTCCAACTCACTATATTAAGGTATAATGCAACCATTTATATTCAGAGTATATCTCCAACTCACTATATTAAGGTATAATGCAACCATTTATATTCAGAGTATATCTCTAACTCACAATATTAAGGTATAATGCAAATATTTGTATTCATATTATATCTGCAACTCACTATATTAAGGTATAATGCAACCATTTGTATTCAGAGTATATCTCTAACTCAAAATATTAAGGTATAATGCAAATATTTGTATTCATAGTATATCTCCAACTCACTATATTAAGGTATAATGCAACTATTTGTATTCAGAATATATCTCTAACTCACTATATTAAGGTATAATGCAAATATTTGTATTCAGAACATATCTCCAACTCACTATATTAAGGTATAATGCAACCATTCATATTCAGAGTATATCTGCAACTCACTATATTAAGGTATAATGCAAATATTTGTATTCAGAGCATATCTCCAACTCACTATATTAAGGTATAATGCAACCATTTGTATTCAGAGTATATCTCCAACTCACTATATTAAGGTATAATGCAAATATTTGTATTCATAGTATATCTGCATCTCACTATATTAAGGTATAATGCAACCATTTATATTCAGAGTATATCTCTAACTCACTATATTAAGGTATAATGCAACCATTTATATTCAGAGTATATCTCCAACTCACTATATTAAGGTATAATGCAAATATTTGTATTCATAGTATATCTCCAACTCACTATATTAAGGTATAATGCAACCATTTATATTCAGAGTATATCTCCAACTCACTATATTAAGGTATAATGCAACCATTTATATTCAGAGTATATCTCCAACTTACTGTATTAAGGTATAATGCAACCATTTATATTCAGAGATATCTCCAACTCACTATATTAAGGTATAATGCAAATATTTGTATTCATAGTGTATCTGCAACTCACTATATTAAGGTATAATGCAAATATTTGTATTCAGAGTATATCTCCAACTCACTATATTAAGGTATAATGCAAATATTTGTATTCATAGTGTATCTGCAACTCACTATATTAAGGTATAATGCAAATATTTGTATTCAGAGTATATCTCCAACTCACTATATTAAGGTATAATGCAAATATTTGTATTCATAGTATATCTGCAACTCACTATATTAAGGTATAATGCAACCATTTGTATTCAGAGTATATCTCCAACTCACTATATTAAGGTATAATGCAAATATTTGTATTCATAGTATATCTCCAACTCACTATATTAAGGTATAATGCAACCATTTATATTCAGAGTATATCTCCAACTCACTATATTAAGGTATAATGCAACCATTTATATTCAGAGTATATCTCCAACTTACTGTATTAAGGTATAATGCAACCATTTATATTCAGAGTATATCTCTAACTCACTTTATTAAGGTATTATGCAAATATTTGTATTCAGAGTATATCTCTAACTCACTATATTAAGGTATAATGCAACCATTTATATTCAGAGTATATCTCTAACTCACTATATTAAGGAATAATGCAAATATTTTAATTCAGAGTATATCTCCAACTCACTATATTATATATGATATATTATATGGTAAAAATAAACCCACTAATAGAACATATAGATTAACGTACACAGGGTACAAAGAAATATCAAGATTATATTGTATTTAATAACTCCATGTTGTACCATATTGTGTAACAAATTCTGAAGGTCTAAGGGACTGTAAGTGTAATTCAAGGGGCCTTTGATTAAAAAAGGGCCTTTTGTCAGATTTACAATGGTACCCTTTAAACTTTAGACAGGTTAAGAATAAAACTGTCAAACAGACATTTTTACTCAATTATTATAATACAGAGTTCTCCATCATCATCTGGCATGGCCTTTTTTGCATGATAGGTCACTTAAAATTACGCTTACAGTCTCTTAGACAAGTGCAATAAATATATTCCTGTTGGCCAGAGCCCAACATTTAAAAGAGTATCGTTGAACGAAACTCCCAAGTTTCCTTTTTGGGGTCTTAACATTTGTGTAGATTTTGATTTAAGAGATTCGAAAAAAATGGAGAATATAAACAAACTGAAAAAAAATATTTCATTACAAAAATATTGATATTCACAAAACTGCCTAACCCCATTCGTGAAACCCGGGTTTTAAAACTGGTTTTCATAACGGCACCCTGTCTTAAGTTTTGGGCTCAGAGCCCACAACTTAAGACAGGGAATTGTTTTGAAAACCAGTTTTGAAACCCGGGTTTCACGAATGGGGTTATGCAGTTTTGTGGATAGTTTTTTTTAAATCTCTTAAATCAAAATTTACACCTAAGCTAAGACCCCAAAAAGGAAACTTGGAAATTTCATTCAACGATACTCTTTTAACTTTCGGGCTTTGTGGGGGGGGGGTCAAATTGACCCCCCCCCCTCTATTTTCTTATTGTGATACAAATCGCGACCAAATCTGGCCGCTTTAAATATCCTAAAGTATTAACCTAGTCTATAATCTGCTATGGGGTTTGATTGGAACCAGCACTAAGTCTCAGATCTCTTGGGAAAAAACTCTACTTCTTTTAGGCTCTCTTCCTCGAAATAACTGTGCTCTGATAAGCGTCAGACGGGTTTATCTGTAAAAGATTGCCAGATTAATTTTATTTTTAACTGGTCCTCCCTAGTCCCCTCCCTGTTATCATCTGTAGTCCTTATTAGTCCTCCCTGGAACGTCCCCTATACTGTGTAGTTCTTGCCAATTTTGTATTTCATGTTCCATTACCAAACTTTCTGTTTCTAGAGTTCAGTGGCCGAATTTAAAGAATTTGAGCGCCGGTTTAAATTTAAGCCGCGGTTTTAATATGGTTGGTTCCACTTTAAATTGTATCAAATGTTTCAAGATTTAAGCCGGCGTTTACTTTAAACCGGGTTTTAGTGGATTTAAACCGCGGCTCAAATTCTGTAAATTCCATCTCTTATGTATAATATTAATTATACATAACCTTATATTTTGCTTATCTGTCTGTCTCTCTGCTTGTATCCAATTAACGTCAAAAGGCATGAACCGATCCGGCCCAAGTTTTTTGTAGCCACTCTAGTGACTCCCAGTTAAAGAGTTGAATCTCTAACAACCTCAATGAACCTTTAACTAGGGCTGGACAACGTTCTGTTAACGGCAAAACCGTTAATTCCGTGCCCATCCCTACCTTTATCTGATCTACTATTAGTTAAATATATGCGTCATTTAAATATTTTGAAATTTTGATTTCTGGCTTTCTCACTGCTGTATAAATCAGCATGTATGTAGTATGTACATATATTTAGATCAGCATGTGCATATATTTAGGAGAGAAACCAAAACCGAAAACTATTCATGTTCCAACAGAAAAATATAAATATCTTTAAAGGGTAGTATTATGAGTTGAACATTGCTACTCTTGAAATTATGTTGACAGCCCCTTTAATAGAAAAAAAAACGACAAGATTTTACTTTTTATTAGAATTAACTGTACGCCTGCACTGAAAAAAAGGCAGTCTAATGTATTTTAATCAATTTTATACAAAAAACTATGTACAGAATTAAGTTAATATCTGTGAATATGATGATAAAATATTATATCTGGCTAATTGTTAATAAAGCTTTATTTCAAAGAATAAAACATAATTTAAATTAATTTTTTACATTTATCAGTAACCACTATTGGAGATCAATTTTTAAAAGAGACCCCCCAGCTGTTGATCTAAGTTTCATCGAAGACCCTAAGATTTGTTGTGAGACCCCTAAATTGTGTTCATTAAAGACCCCCATATTTTCTAAAGAGTTAAAACCCTATGAAATCCTCATGGGTTTCCTTTGAAAATCTGGGCGTCTCTAATAAAATAGGGGGATTGTACAAAAAATCTAAGGGATTTCTGATGAAATAGGGCAGTCTACGGTAAAAAAAAACTGAGGGTTTTTTCAGGGGCGGGGGGTAGGGGCGATGAGATTGTAGTAGGGGTCTCAAGAGAAAAAGGAGGCTTCAAAGTACTCCATTGATAACTCTCCGGCTCACATTTAAGTTATTATTTTTTGTACTTTTGACATCTTTCTCTTGTTCTTCTCAGCTTGATCCTCAGCTTTGATGCTAGAAATAATAAAATAGAATTTATTTCTTATTTAAGGGAGAGTTCACGAAAAAAAAAAGATATTGATGGTTAATTATGTATTTAAGTTAAACTGCTCTTATTATTAAAAGTAGCAATGTGAACCATTTTTGAAAAACTATATAAAAAATCTTAACCATCCTTTAAGTTTCGAATAAGAATTAATATGCAATGATCATTATAACTGATAGAAAAAAAGCAAAAATATGGATTTTGATTTTGATTTTGTTTCTCCCTTAAACCCCATTCTTTTTTTAAAAACACTACCTTTAAAGGGATTGTAAGCATAATTTAAGTGACCCTCTATGCATAAGTACCAATTAATGGGAACCCTTTAAACCTTTTTATGATAAATAATGTGGAAGATATTCTTGTTCTAGTTTTAAAGGTTTTAACTCTGCTAAATCCTATTTTTTTCCGTTAGTAGAAATGCGCAAGTCACTTTTGTGGAGAAATCAAAAGCAAAAATTATGAATTTTCAAAATTATAAATATTTATAAACATCTTGATCAGAAAAGCGTTTAAGGTTCACCAATGCGAACCAGGCATTGTCATCTTTACATGTAGGGTTAATTAAAATTGCACTTATAGTTCCTTTAACTAAAATTTAACATGATTTGAAAACATAAATTTAACATGATTTGATAACTAAAATTTAACATGATTTGATAACTAAAATTTAACATGATTTGTAAACTAAAATTTAACATGATTTGTAAACTAAAATTTAGCATGATTTGAAAACTAAAATTTAACATGATTTAAAACCTAAAGTTTAACATGATTTGAAAACTAAAATTTAACGTGATTTGAAAACTAAAACTTAACATGATTTGAAAACTAAAATTTAACGTGATTTGAAAAATCAAAATTTAACATGATTTAAAAAAAGTTTAACATGATTTTAAAACATAAATTTAACATGATTTGATAACTAAAATTTAAAATGATTTGAAAACTAAAATTTAACATGATTTGAAAACTAAAATTTAGCATGATTTGTAAACTAAAATTTAACATGATTTGTAAACTAAAATTTAACATGATTTGAAAACTAAAATTTAACATGATTTGAAAATTAAACTTTAACATGATTTGAAAACTAAAATTTAACATGATTTGATAACTAAAATTTAACATGATTTGAAAACTAAAATTTAACATGATTTGAAAACTAAAATTTAACATGATTTGACTAAAATTTAACATGATATTTAAATAACTAACATTTAACATGATTTGAAAACTAAAATTTAACATAATTTTAAAATTAAACTTTAACATGATTTGATAACTAAAATTTAACATTATTTGAAAACTAAAATTTAACATGATTTAAACTAAAATTTAACATGATTTAAACTAAAATTTAACATGATTTAAAACTAAAATTTAAACATGATTTGAAAACTAAAATTTAACATGATTTTAAAAATTAAAATTTAACATGATTTAAAAAAAATTTAACATGATTTGAAAACTAAAATATGAAATAAACTGAAAGTATTTCTAAACTCCTACCTCATATACTTGGATTCAACCAGGAGTTGAGAACCGCACCTTGTAAACAAAGTTTAGCTTTTTAGTTGTTTTGTTGTTGATTGGTATCTTAGAATTTTTACGACAGGGTATCCAAATAAACAGTGAATGTCAAAATGATTGTATGCGCCTCGAAAAAGTAATCCTTTTTTGTATCTTCAACATTGGCGGAGACATTTGAAATCTTAACAGTTCTTTTATTATTGAAATCTGAACAAGTTTCTCAATTTTTAAAATGGGAAAATTATACATCTCATTTTGGTAATCAATTAAGACCAGTAGTTGTATAGTGTAAACTGGAACACAATTATAAAATTGTCTTCATGACAAAATGCCGCGTGGAACAAAGACGATAGAAGTCATCATTTAATTTCAAAGTTTGTTGGGACACTATGTTATAAAAATGTAAAAATAAAGACGACATTCATAAAGGATAAAGACGACATTAATCCCAAATGCCTATGCTCTCATGCATAAATTTATCAGCAATTTGCAAATAACGCCTTTCTAGTCAAAGCTAGAAAGATGCGCACTGTAGTTTAAAAATGATTATTTATTTAGGGCTTCAAAAAAAAAGAGTTTGTAATTTAAACCCAATGGTTAAGGGGTCGACCCAGTATGAAAAAGTTATGCAAAATTCTCAGCTTTAAAAAAACTAAATAATTACATTTAAGCTTTACATTTCAAGCGTTTTGTTTAATCCACGATATCGAATTTAATCAATTTTATCAATAATCTTAAATTAACAATAATAATTTAATCAATAATCTTAAATTAACAATAATAATTTTTATCAATAATCTTACTTCCATGCTAGGATACCGAGAGAGCCATAGAAGATATGGATAAGGAATCCCATCTAAACATATAAGATATGGATAAGGAATTCCATCTTAACATAGAAGATATGGATAAGAAATCCCATCTAAATAGAAGATATGGATAAGGAATCCCATCTAAGCATAGAAGGTATGGATAAGGAATCCCATCTAAACATAGAAGATATGGATAAGGAATCCCAAATAAACATAGAAGATATGGATAAGGAATCCCATCTAAACATAGAAGATATGGATAAGGAATCCCATCTAAACATAGAAGATATGGATAAGAAATCCCATCTAAATAGAAGATATGGATAAGGAATCCCATCTAAACATAGAAGATATGGATAAGGAATCCCATCTAAACATAGAAGATATGGATAAGGAATCCCATCTAAACATAGAAGATGGATAGAATAATATATATTTTCCTCCCAAATTAATTTTTTCATTTCGTTTAAAAAAAAAATTTTGTTGGTTCTCAAAACTATTCCATCTATTTTGTTCGATTTCTCACTGAACATCCATTCATTAAAAGTTCAGTAAGTTGTTTGTTCAATAAAAACAATCTTTCAGTTTAAAACAACCCGTTTTTCCAAAAGCTTGCTCGAAAAATAACAATCGTCTTTTTACAAGTTTTTTTTCAAAAAAATCATTCATTGAGTAAAAAACTTTAGTTGTTTCAACTCTTTTGCAAAATATGTTCCTTCAGTAAAAAATCGTAAGTTTTTTAGTTTGTTCTCACAAACAATTTAGAAATTGTTCATGAATGATTAATGAGTTTTTTAGGTTTTTAGTTTTTCGTTCGTTTTTAAAAAACGATAGTTTTTTTCATTTCACTGAACGTTTTTTCATTTCACTAACCGTTTTTTCATTTCACCGAACGATCCAAGTTGTTCGTCTATTGTTCGTTTTTTGAAAATGACAGTTCATCGTTTACGAACAATTGTGTACACTCTCAAAGATTTCTTGCATGCCTACCTCGTAAGTTAAATCAAATCCAAAATCTTCTCCAGCAATAACATGCCACATGCAACCAAACCTTCGGTCCAACTCGACCTTCAATGAAAACCAGTAAAATCTGGAATAAAAGTCATTTCAACCTTTTCAGTGGAAATAAAACTTAAGATTTTTGAATAATTGAAACGATATGTCTGATATATATTTGAAAATATTGAGAGATCAGACCTTTTGTGCAGATATACAGGGTGTCCCAAAAAACATGACAGTTGGTGAATAGTTTTGAATGTCTTCTTCCATATACTGTATTAGATATTAAAGACTTTTTGCAGCTTAATTCGATAAAAAAATCTTTTAATCAAATATATTTTACTTTGAAATAAATTTAGCTATAATAGGACTGCTTTATGATATTGTTTATTGGCGAATTCCCTAAAGACCTAATGAAATCTATAAGTACCGAGTGGTATTTCTCTGGATAGGATTGTAAGGCTTCCTTCTCTCAACGCTCTCCATAA